ACAAATTGAAAAATGAGCAGCTTCTTGTGAATTTGGCTACTAAGTCGTCGTTGGACTTTTTTTTTCATGTCGCTCTACAATGGACCGTCAATACTTTCTGTCGAGAACATTTTTTTTTTGTTCAGGATCCATAGATGAAATTTTTTTTGTTGTATTCAGGAAATGTTATGCTGTATAAGATTTGAAGAGCAACTAATTGTACCTTTATTAGGTAGAAAATGGCTTTGAAATGTCCATTATTTCTCAGCTGGCGTTCATAAAAATGCAAGTTGATAAGCTACAAATAATTGAAGTATTATTGTATTTTTGGGTGGGGTGTTGACTTTGGTTCTTTACAGTGATTTTCCATATGTAACATCAAATTTTATATAGAATTTGCATGTCTTTTCATGTCAATACTAAACTTGTCCCGTTAATTTTTTTGTTTTGCAATTTAAATTTTACCGACAGGATTTGCATGCTATTTGACCCTGGTTTGATGTCCATTATTCATGAAAATGAGTTTTGAAATAGTAAATTTTTTAAGATTGTGTAGTTAAAAAATAGGAATTTTTTTTGAGTTTATGTACAAAATAAATAAATAGCTGTAACAAAAAGTTAAATATAGCGAATACCAAATCATCGAATTAAAAATATAAAAAGGAAAATAGATGAAAAGTAAATCAATTCTAACCAACTTATGAGTATCTGTTATGTATATAAATAAATTTCTCTCATATTTACACACTTATTTTTAATAAATATTATCTAACTAACGTGCAACGCACGTTCAATTCACTAGTTTTCCTAAAAAGAATGAAAATGAAGTCTAGATACTAAAATTGTTACGTCAAGTTCCGTTTGATCTCATTTCGTCTTCTCTTCTAGTGTCTCTTTAATAAGTATTCGAATGTACGTCGAATACTTTTCAATTTTAATAATGAATAACAAGATGTCACGCTTGGCATAAATACGTTCTCATCTGACGAATGTATTATCATTTTATTGAACATTTCTAGTAATTTTCATATAATTGATTAATATTAGTCAATAATCAAGATTCACATAATCTTTAATCAATTAAAATCTTGAGACCAAAGTATTCTAATAGAAATTAACTAGAAATCTTTTAAAGATATAGTGTGTAAAATAAAATACTCAAAAGAATCGAAATTTATAAGTAAGAATTCAATTCATTACTTCGAATGTCAAGCTTACTTCATATTTGAATATTCGTCCACACTCGATATAAAAGAATAATAGCTGTAGTAGTCTTTGTAAAGGTTTGAAATCAATTCACAAGTGATTACTTTTTAGCTAGCGTGATATCTGGGAACATGTTTTACTAAGCTTAAAATAAGTTAAAATTACTTTCATTTCAAACATGTTTGAAAATGTTTTTTTTTTTCTTACTTTCATGTTTTAAGTAAATTTTACTTATTGTAAGTATTATTCTTTTTCGTTTTTTGAATTTTACACTTGTCCCCATAAGGAGACCATAACCCAGATTTTAATCGTAATTATGATCTCATTATCAAAACATGTGACCTTATTTTCAATTCTGATAAATAAAGGTTACTTATTCAAAACTTATTTTCTCATGAAAAGGTTCCGTGGCCACGGCTGCATTCTAACTTCGTATCTTGCAAAAATCTTTTGCCTTTTACAGAATCGGATCCGCATTTTTTATGAATTCTTCTCAAAACTATTGCTATTACTTTAGATAAAAAGATGGATTGAACCTAGATCCTTAAAACATTGTCAAGTATTGAAGGACATTGTCTACATCTTAGACATGGTCGAATTATCTTAATACGCATAATTAATTAAAAGATACATTGTTTGTATAGGCATCATTAAGGGCCTGTTTGGTATGAATTTTGATTTTCTACAGTAAATCAATTCTCATTTTCAACCACACATTCTTCAATAAAATAATATTTTCCATCACATCAATAATTTTTTCTTTTTTTTCAACCACACATTTCACATCATATCACTATTCNTTCAACCACACATTCTTCAATAAAATAATATTTTCCATCACATCAATAATTTTTTCTTCTTTTTCAACCATATATTTCCCATCATATCACTATTCAAAAATCAATTCTTCCCCCAAAAATCCCTACCAAACAGGCTCTAAAACATTTCTACAAGAAGCAGAACATAGCCAAACGAATCCTTAGAGATGGTGAAAGTTTGTTTCTTTTGAGTTTGTGTTGATAGAAATATGAATATAATCAAGTCGAAATAAAATTTATTCAAAATGTGAAAGTGTTATTTAAACGGTCAAGTGTCATTTTGTTAAGTGGAGTACTTGGATGGTACGTTGTCATTTTATTTTTATCCCATGCAAATTTCATGTCTTGTTCAATTCGAAATTTCAAAATATATATCAAAACCAAATTTCCTACCCACCAACACATTAAAGTCATCTAACAATTGATACCAAATTTCAAACCAATCATTGAAATATGTAATGTATTAAAACTCACAAACTTTATGACTAACACATCAACACAAAGATTCATATTAATCAAATACAAACTGCAGTCTCATTCAATAACTACAACTCCTACGAAATAGTTTTTCAACACAAAGATCCGCCAAAGTATCTCCACTGTTTTGCCCATTTTCATATCAATCCGCTTCGATCACTTCATTGCGACGACAATCTCTTCCTAAAATTCAACAAAAAAATCTAAAATGTTAGTACACGTGATAAAAAATAAATGCACATTTTTGACCAATTATGCTAGTTATGGGTTTTTAAGACATTTTTAACCATTTTAGAAAGTACATTAGAGGCCTAAAAGGACTTTTTTTCTAACTCAAAACATTGTTACTTAGACTCCGCTGCCCCAAACTTTATTATCAATGTGAAAAACTATCTGCGGAAAAAAAGAGAGGAAAAAAACAAAATCTGATAAGAGCAGACGCTCTTGAACAAAAATCATACCTGTTTATATCTTCCAAACTGTCTACCTTAATGTGAGGAATGTGAGATATCTTGTCCCATTCGTCTCCAGTCCTGTCCCCGTACAGTGAAGCTAGACATAAGGAGCTCTTAACAGTCAAATACTCCAGAGACGATGCCATACGAAGGAGGCAATGTGGCAATGCCTTTAACTTGTTGCAATCAACGATTTCTAACTCCCTGAGACAAGGCATTATTGAGAGATGGTCTTTTTCATCTCCAGTTATATCCTCCCACTTTTCCCAGTTGTCACAACGGTAAATACACAATTTCCTCAACTTCGGGAATCTAGTTTCCGCAGACGATATTTTCTGGGTAGTCCCCATTATCCCCAAGAATTCATTGCCCACGTATTTCATGCTACGCATCCATAATATCTTAAGCTCCTCAAGCTTCGGCAGTTTTCCCAAAGGGGGCAAAGATGAGCACTTCTCAAAATATTCTATAACAAGCACCCTTAAATAATTAACGGACGAGGTGATCCATACTGGCAAATGGGTGCCCTTGTATCCACACATTCGAAAATAATGCAGGTTTGGAGGTGGTTGAAGAGCCTCCATTATGTCCACCCTCACCTCCCCACGAAAAGTTATGCTCAACTTTTGAATGTATTTCTTATTTTTCAATTCTGCTTTCTTAGCGTCATCCAAGTCTTCTAACTCACTCAAGTCTCCTAGAATAAGTTCTAGAGATCCTCGAAGTTGGTTTAGTTTTCTCAAATATCCCAACTTTCCTGATCCTCTTCCTACATTAAAACTGCTCAAAATCCATAGACCGGTTAATCTCTCCACTCCTTGAGGAATTGAATTCATATTCCAACCTATTGGAAAGAGAAGGTGTCGTAGATTTATTAGTTTATAGATCCCTTGAGGGAGTGCAGCAAGAAGGAAACATCTTCGGAGATCCAAGGTTTGCAACTTATACAAATCACACAAGGTTTCTGGGAGTTCTGTCATAGGATTAAAGCTCAAGTCAAGATACCTCAAATGAATTAATTTTCCTATCTCTTGTGGAATTTCTTGCAAATTGCAATTGCTCGCAATAAGTACCCGAACACATTTTAAACGGCTAAAGAGATTTAAAGGGAGACTTTTTTTAGAAACTTTTTTAGCACAAAATGTGCGAAGTTTTCCGATATCCCAATTCTTAATCTTTACTCCACCATACAAGATTAAGCTGTACTCATCTTTTGAGAGATAAGTAACGAAGTCATGCATTATATCATGCATTTTGCAAGAGACCTTACTTTCGTCATATTTATCCTTTTCCAATTCTTGAAAGAAAGATCGCATTTCTAGGTTCTTAAAGAACTCTAACCCCATCCTTTGCATGTGATCTACATTTCCACTCGAACCAAGATAACCATGTGCCATCCAGAGCCTGATAAGCTCATCCAAATGTATAAAGTTATCTTTTTGATAGATAACACAACTAGAGAAGCAGCGCTTAAGTACTGGAGACAAATCATTGTAACTCAAATACAAATGGGGGAAAAGCTCAACTGTCGCTTCCTCCAACTGCCACAAAGGACTCTTTAGAACATTTAGCCACTCTCCTACAGTATCTTTCAAGCATAGCAGGCTTCCCATAGTTTTTGCAGCAAGTGGCAACCCCTTGCAGTTCAGCGCAATCTTTTTACCAATATCTTCTAGTTTCTCGCGCTCCTCCTTACTTCTTCCAACAAAAGCTATCTTACTTAATAATGACCAGCAGTCCTCATCGGATAGCCAATGGTTGCCGTGTGTCCGTGCCTATCAATCTTACAACCCGATCGCTCCTTGTTGTCACCAAAATTCTACTTCCGGGGGGAACCCTGGAGAGAGTTTTTCAGGGGTTCCCACTTCATGGGGTTCACATTCCACACATCATCTAGGACAATAAGAAATCTTTTATGTGAAATTGAGTTTTTCACACGTTGTGATAACATTTCCAAATTCGAGGTGTTGGAGGAACTCTCCCCAACGGCCTCAAGAACTGATTTTGCAATGTTAATCTCATCAAAAGGATCCGAAACACAAATCCATGTTTTTAATTCAAAATGTTCCTTAACTTCAGGATCGTTAAAGGCTAATTGAGCAAGAGTTGTTTTACCAACCCCTCCCGTCCCCGCTATCGAAACAATCTCGACTCCACTGTCCCCCTCAGTTAACAAATTTTGTATGAGGTTTTGCTTATCAATACTGCGACCATATACACTTGCAGAATCAACAGAAGAAGTCGATTCGATTCGCTTAAATTCCTGCAAATTATGGCCACCACTTGGAAGAAAACCAAACTCAACTTTTCCCTCAACAATCAAATCTAGTTTCCCGATCAAACCCTTTATCTTCAGATTAATTTCACGACGTCCAACAACATGTTCGAAGCATAAACAAATAGATTGAATAAACGAAATTATCTTCTCCCAAGGATCAGAAATTTCCTCAGATCCTTCAATTTGCAGTTGAAGATTCGCGGTTTCCCATTCATCCAAAGCGTCATCCATTTCGTAGGATACATCTTGGAGATCTTTTAGCCAATTTTTGACCTTTGAATCAGTCACTCCAGTTCTCTCTGCATCCTGCAGCACCTCCTGGATCTTCTTCAACTTCCCACTGAGATTTTCCACTTCCTTTTTGGATTCGAGGACCAGATTTACCTCCCTCTGGATCAGAGGAGCCAATCGCTCCAGCAGTGCGAAAACAGACATCGCCGAATTAGATTGAACAAGAGTAAAGCAAAAAAACTGTCGACACTCGATTTGCTGGATTGCACTATGCCGTTTCTCTAAAAATATCTGACACAGGCGTCAGAATTCCAAAATGCAAAAAAAAAAAAAACTCAAACAAGNCAGCACCTCCTGGATCTTCTTCAACTTCCCACTAAGATTTTCCACTTCCTTTTTGGATTCGAGGACCAGATTTACCTCCCTCTCGATCAGAGGAGCCAATCGCTCCAGCAGTGCGAAAACAGCCATCGCCGAAATAGATTGAACAAGATTTGCTGGATTACACTATGCCGTTTCTGCTAAAAATATTTTACACACTTCAGAATTCATCGCATTTTCTGAAGATACATTTTTTGTTTTTTAAAATTTCTAAGTTAAGAGCGCCAATTCTTTTTAAAATTTATTTTTCTCTCTTATTTTTTATCATACATTTTTCAATAAAATAATACTACACATAAATTTAAAAATTTTCCTTATTTTTAACCACTTATTTTCCATCGAAATACCATTCCAAAATGCATTATGAGCAAAAAAAGACTCAAACAAGCCCAAAACCGTTTCTTATTTTAACATTAATTCATCTTTATGGTTAAAATAATTAACTAACAGTAACAAGGCGACCTCAACTAAGATAAAGGTTTTTTCAGGTGTCCTCGAGATTTTAATAAAATTTATTAAAATATTGAAGAATTATAGCGCTCCATAATTTTCTCAAGTATAACTATTTATATTAAAACTTGCTTATATTCTTGTTGAGTAAACTTAATTAGCGAAACATCCTCACGGTATATAAAACCAGAACTGGATTTAAAGCCTATAAATGATGGTTAAAAAAGAATTTAATTCACTACTTCAAATGTTGAGCTTAGATTCTATTGGCCTTTAAAATTTATTTTTAATTACACATTCTTTCAATATATAATTTTTACACGTGAAAAAAAAAATCAATTTTCACTACAAATAATATCTTCCACACAAATACTTAGTACAATACATTATATTATGTTTCACTCTCTTTATTTTTCATACTCATTTTCAACAAAATATTTTCGTAGTAAATTGACTGTTAATTTATTGCCATAAATAGCCCGCTCTATATTTTTAGGTAAGTATGTACATGAATCTCTCCGATTTTTCTTTTTCCATCATCGATGCCAACGTGAGAGAAGAAGATACATAGACGTACTAGATCATAATGTCTCAAGAGTCAACAATAATGATCTTACCCGAAAATTCTTCAATTCCACTGCTTTGTATGATCGGAGAAATATCGCACCAAGAATCTTTCAAACAAGTTGTGTTGGTGGGCAGGCAGAGTCAATAAATGATTCCTTATGCAAAGAGAGGCAA